AAAGAAGTGAAGGTGAGAGGGAGAGAAAATGGAAACTGAGGAGCGGTGAGGGGGGGGGGGGAGAATCTACAAGTGAATAATTTATTTATTTTCTTTATCACTTAAAAGTACTGTAATTGATTGATTTATTCAACAAGCTGACTATTATTTATGACTTAATGTCACTCGTAAACTTCCCTTCACACGTTTTGGAGGGTTTATTTATTATATTTAGTTACACAGTAATTAAACAATTAACCATTATTAATTATACTATACCATAATTAACGGTAAGTGGGGTAATTCAATAAAAATTGGTAAGTAATAATAAAGTTTTGCCATCTTGTCTGACTTGATGGCTGCGGCAGTCATGGGAAACAGGTGTGGTCCACGAGTCATGGGAGACAGGTGTGGTCCACGAGTCATGGGAAACAGGTGTGGTCCACGAGTCATGGGAGACAGGTGTGGTACACGAGTCATGGGAGACAGGTGTGGTACACGAGTCATGGGAGACAGGTGTGGTCCACGAGTCATGGGAGACAGGTGTGGTACACGAGTCATGGGAGACAGGTGTGGTACACGAGTCATGGGAGACAGGTGTGGTACACGAGTCACGGGAGACAGGTGTGGTACACGAGTCATGGGAGACAGGTGTGGTACACGAGTCATGGGAGACAGGTGTGGTACACGAGTCACGGGAGACAGGTGTGGTACACGAGTCATGGGAGACAGGTGTGGTCCACGAGTCATGGGAGACAGGTGTGGTCCACGAGTCACGGGAGACAGGTGTGGTTCACGTGGGTCGTCACCTCTGCTGGGTTAATGGCGTCGTCTGTGTGCTGACAATACGTCAACATGTAGAACCAATTCGCACTTCTAGAGTCGCCCCAACTCCAGCCTGCCAAAACGTTACATTATAGCCAAGCACAATGGTTATAATTATTCTTATTATGTGTTACATAACTCAATCTGTTCAAGTTATGGTCGGCACATTACCCCTAGTGGCTGGGTGTCTTGCGATCTAACCACCTTCCCTGATCATTTAGTGCATAACTGATCAAGAAACATATACAGGTATAGACAGACATAGCGAGCACTTCCCTGTTGTTGTCGTGGTCGAAGGCGTCCGATTACATAGGTATTTGCTTCAATGCCAGCGGCTGGTTTCGTGTAGCCCGAGTAGGGTCCTGTGCTGGCTCTCTCGGGTAAGATTATTATGGCTGACCTCCTCCCTCCCGCAGTGGGGCAAACGAGTCTCCCTTCTTGCGTTTTTTTATTCAATTCGGAAGGAGTTAAAATTGATTAACATTTTAGAAGTGATAGTTCAGTTTATTTCAGGGAAGTGTTATTTGTTACTTTCAGTCATACGACTGTGGATTTTAATATTAAACAAAGTAATATCGTTTTGGAATGGGGTGTAAAACGACAAAGAAATTAATATTCTCGTTTTCTGGAGTAAATTTGCCATGTTCACAATATCATGACTAACTAAATTATGTATTTTATATAACACGTGTTACAAAGCAGCAGCATTTTGTTTTCTGCTTGTTGCATTAACAACTTTATGAGAGATGTGGGAGTTTTTCCCCACCAGGTGAGGGGAGAAGGTCGGATGACGTAGTGAGAGGTGTGGAGAAGTTGGGAAACTGGAACTAAGACAAAGTAAGGTAAGTGAGTAGAGGAAGTTAGAGAAGTGACAATTATTGGGGACGAAATTAGCACGAGAGGGAGGGTAAGAGGATATTTGTATTTTTGTATTAACTCAGTTAGGTACATCTGCAATTGTGCAGCTTAACCTATATGAAGGGGGAATACAGTATGTCCAAAACTAGCTTCTTGATGCAAAAAAATGCCCATCACACAGGATGGTTAGTTATACAGGGCCATATGTTCAGAAGTCTGTACTGACAAACTCTGGGTGTATTATGAAGATATCATCATGAACACAAGAGTGAATAAGGCAGCAGTGATACTAAAAGTCACCCTTCTCACAGATGGTTAGTCATACAGGGTCATATGTTCAGTAACCTGCAATGGCAAATTTTTGGTGCATTATGAGGACATCCTCAAGAAAACGAAAATGAATAAAGTAATTGCAAAGCTCCAGTTACCTCATGCCAATAACTCTGCATGGTCTGATAACTGGGCATTCGGTGATGTAGTGTGCATAATCATGCCCCAGTTCCTGCTCACTGAGTTTGCACCTAGAGTGCTCAGGAGTGGGAGATCAGTTACCTGTAGCCACCTGCCACAGGTAACGGTAACCTAACCTGATCCTGGCAACCACTGTGTTGCACACTCTGTTGGACGTTTTGTGCTGCCCATAAACATTGATTTATTGAGATCTGAAACCTTAGTTTTTATACTGGTGCTTTCAGGTCGTTGGGAGTCAGTAATTTATCTTCTATCAGACCTGAGAGTTTGGACCAATATAGTTTCGACAGCAGAGATGGGGATACCTAGATCAAATTCAACTTCATCTTTTTTACACGCTAATTTGCCTGCAATATCTGTCTCATTATGATGGGTTATATATATGTGTGATGGTATCTATACAAAGGTGATTCGAAACCCTTTACTCTGTGCAGTGATTAGGTCATTTATAATTGTTAGAATTAGGTTCTTGCTCTCTATCTTCCCGGAGAAGTTTTCAATTGCTTGAAGAGCAGACTTTGAATCACAAAATATTATTCCTCCTCCAAAGTATTTTAATGTTCTGGTAGCTAGTTGTAGTGCCGCTAGTTCTGTTTGTGTGGAGGTCAGCTCGTTATTTAACCTGACATTGACAGCCTGTGTGTAAATATTATTTCTATAAAACCTACATGCTGCTGCAGTCCGTCCAGTAGAAGATTGGACTGAGCCCTCAGTGTAGACACAGTGATCATGAAATCTAAAATTTTTGATGGAGGAGGCAATTGTTTCAAGTGTGACAGCTTTGAGAAAAGCAAGATTCTCATTACTATTTTCAACATTTTCATGGTGCTGGGAGTGTATGATACTTCAATGGTGGGGCACAGTTAAAATTAAAGAGGAATATCGGAGATAGGTAGATTGCACTTAAAAGGAATGTTGAGTTTGATGAGATTGTAGGTATTTTTACTCACTCATTTATCATAAAAGGAGTTGGTATGTTGGCACCAGTCAATAGAGTGTTAACAACACCGAATAATTTGTCTCTGAGCATTGTAGATGTTTGGTCTCTCATGACTTTAAGGCAAAAGGTCGTGTTTACTTGCATGATTCTCTCTAGTATGGTTGGAAGCTTCAGTTTCTCTCTCATGTTGATGATTCTTGTGCATCTTGGGGCACCAAGAATTATCCTCATGGTGTCATTCTGTACTACTTCAAGTTCGTCTAACACAGAGGCGGAGAAGTTAATTAGGTGCAAGGCATGATACTCAACTAGAGATCTAATAAACATCATATAGAATAATGTAGCATACTTAATATTGATGGCAATATTTTTATTAGTAAGTGTTTTAAGTGGTGAGTGAGTTATGCGACATTATAAATGACCTAGGTCGTTTATAATGTCACTGTTGATACCAACCCCAAGGTATTTGTGCTGCCTATACGTTTCAGTGTTCTGGTTGTTGACCTTGAAAGTTATAAGGACATGAGTTTTCTCTTGTGGATGAAGAGCTCTGGATATAGTTATAGAGATAACATGACCACATTCAATGCTTTTAGCAGTGAATGAATCAATTAGAGCTTGCAGTCTAGTATATGCAACAATGCATATGGCATTGGCATAACAGATGACGACTTCGTCAGGTAGTGTAGGAATATCAGTTGTTAATTTGTTGCATGGAAACATTGAACAGTGTAGGGCTAAGCACTCCACCCTGGGGTGTACCCAACTCAAAGGGTGCACAATGTTTACGTTTGACCCCCCTTGAAATGAACTGCGGCAGCTCTGTTACTCAGGTAACTCTTGAGCCATGTCAACAGTCTTCCCTTAACACCAAAAGAGGCTAGTTGTTCTAAGATTATTTTTCAGTTTTTTGTATATAAAACAGTTTGGAGGTTAATAAATACCGCCTGAGAGCTTGGTCCCTCTCTAATAAAATATTCAGCAAAGCAAGTTGGTGTGCTTCTTCCAGGAAGGAAACCATACAGGTTAGGAGCAGGGTGGGGCCTAATTTGAAACATTAATCTGTCGAGTATAATCCTTTCCAGAACTTTACACATATACGATGTCAGAGAGATGGGTCTGAATTTGTGTAAATTAGGCATTTATAACTATTATGAGTCCCTTTTTTCAAGATCTGTCAGGTAAAACACTCTGCCTTAGACTTTGATTAAACAATTCTAGCAAAGTGCTGTTTGGCAGCTCAGCACGTTCTCTCATGGTATTGTATGTTATGCCATCCTCTCTAGGAGAGCCAGCCTTACCTTTCTTAAATGCATTTTTTACGTCAAAGGGAGTTATGTCATCTGGCCCTATTTCACTACAGGCAATTTTTAATATTAATTTAAAGTCACGATTTATTTTGGTACTAGCGAGATGGTGTTGTACATCTAGGGGCAGGCTGCTTATACTGGCAGTGTTTGCATATTGCTGAAGCAGCATGTTGACATATTATGCCGGTGTATGGTGATCAAGTTGACGACTGCTAGTATGAAAAATCTTATTAATTATATTCAACATTTGGGATGAAGATGTTGAATGATTGATGCTTTGCAGAAACATTTCCCGGTGCCGGTTATACACCTGTTCCTTTAGCTCTTTAAACTCTCGGCTGGCCTTAAGAAATATGTTGAGGGTGTCAGCTGTTTGTGTTTTATACTGCTCAGTTAAGGTGAGAACTCTGTCATGAAGAGGTAAGCTTAAGGCGTGAGTTAGTGAACCACCTCTGAAGGTACGCATGGAGGGAGGGAGAGAGGTTGATATGTATGGAGGAGGGGGCTGGACGGAGGGTGGTAAGGTAGGAGGGGGAAGGTGATGGAGGGAGGGAGGGAAGCGTGTGTGTGTGAGAGAGAGCCAGGAACACCTCAGTCTGGGCGAAGTGGTGGTGGAGGTCAGACGTGACTGCTTCGTGTCGCGTCGCTCTTCCCCCTCTCTCTCTCCCCTCTCCCTGGTCACTGGCACGTGCTCCCCTTCCCTCCATCCCCAGCGCGTGTGTTCTCGCGAGTGTTCCTCGTCGCTCACGGTCGCGTAACACGTGAATAGCAGACATAACTTCAGAAGTTGCACCACAGACCATCCACTGCAACTCGCAGTAAGTTCTACCTGCTTCCTTCACACCAGTGTATACACTGTGGTCCTGTATACACTGTAGTACTGTGTACACTGTAGTACTGTGTACACTGTAGTACTGTGTACACTGTAGTACTGTGTACACTGTAGTACTGTGTACACTGTAGTACTGTGTACACTGTATTACTGTGTACACTGTAGTACTGTGTACACTGTAGTACTGTGTACACTGTGGTCCTGTGTACACTGTAGTACTGTGTACACTGTGGTCCTGTGTACACTGTAGTACTGTGTACACTGTGGTCCTGTGTACACTGTAGTACTATGTACACTGTGGTACTGTGTATACTGTTGTACTGTGTACACTGTAGTACTGTGTACACTGTAGTACTATGTACACTGTGGTACTGTGTATACTGTTGTACTGTGTGTACTGTTTACACTATTATGCTGTGTACACTATGGTACTGTTTGCACTGTGGTTCTGTATACACTGTGGTGTTGTTTACACTGTGGTACTGTGAACACTGTACACTGTAGTGTTACTTACACTGTGGTACTGTGTACACTGTGGTACTGTGAACAACGTGGTGCTGTTTACACTGGTACTGTGAACACTGTGTTGCCGTGTTCACTGACGTACTATGTACACTGTGGAGTTATTTACACTGTGGTACTGTCTACACTGTGGTGCTGTGTACACTGTGGTGCTGTGTACACTGTGGTGCTGTGTACACTGTGTTACTGTCTACACTGTGGTGCTGTCTACACTGTGGTGCTGTGTACACTGTGGTGCTGTGCACACTGTGGTGCTGTGTACACTGTGGTGCTGTGTACACTGTGGTACTGTCAACACTGTGGTGCTGTGTACACTGTGGTGCTGTGTACACTGTGGTGCTGTGTACACTGTGGTGCTGTGTACACTGTGGTGCTGTGTACACTGTGGTGCTGTGTACACTGTGGTACTGTCAACACTGTGGAACTGTCTACACTGTGGAACTGTCTACACTGTGGAACTGTCTACACTGTGGTCTTGTGTATACGGTGGGGCTGTGTACACTGTGGTACTGTTTACACTGGTACTGTGTACACTGTGGTACTGTGTACACTGTGGTGCTCTGTACACTGTGGTGCTCTGTACACTGTGGTGCTCTGTACACTGTTGTGCTGTGTACACTGTGATACTGTGTACACTGTGGTACTGTGTACACTGTGGTACTGTGTACACTGTGGTACTGTGTACACTGTGGTACTGTGGAACTGTGTACACTGTGGTACTGTTTACACTGGTACTGTGTACACTGTGGTACTGTGTACACTGTGGTGTTCTGTACACTGTGGTGCCCTGTACACTGTGGTGCTGTGTACACTGTTGTGCTGTGTACATTGTGATACTGTGTACACTGTGGTACTGTGTACACTGTTGTGCTCTGTACACTGTGGTGCTGTGTACACTGTTGTGCTGTGTACACTGTGATACTGTGTACACTGTGGTACTGTCTACACTGTGGTACTGTGTACACTGGTACTGTGTACACTGTGGAGCTGTCGACACTGTGGTACTGTCTACATTGTGGTGCTGTCTACACTGTGGTGCTGTCTACACTGTGGTGCTGTCTACACTGTGGTGCTGTCTACACTGTGGTGCTGTATACATTGTGCTGCTGTCTACACTGTGGTGCTGTCTACACTGTGGTACTGTCTACACTGTGGTACTGTCTACACTGTGGTACTGTTTACACTGTGGTACTGTCTACACTGTGGTACTGTCTACACTGTGGTACTGTTTACACTGTGGTACTGTCTACACTGTGGTACTGTCTACACTGTGGTACTGTTTACACTGTGGTACTGTCTACACTGTGGTACTAGGTACTATGTAGTACTGGGTACACTGTGGCTCTGTATACACTATGGTACTGTGTACACTGTTGTACTATCTACACTGTGGTACTATATACTCTGTGGTACTGGGTGTGGGAAAAACTGATTCGTGGGATTTAATTTTTTTTTTTTTTTTTTTTTTTGAGATATATACAAGAGTTGTTACATTCTTGTACGGCCACTAGTACGCGTAGCGTTTCGGGAAAGTCCTTAACCCTATGGTCCCTGGAATACGATCCCCTGCCGCGAAGAATCGTTTTTTCATCCAAGTACACATTTTACTGTTGCGTTAAACAGAGGCTACAGTTAAGGAATTGCGCCCAGTAAATCCTCCCCGGCCAGGATACGAACCCATGACATAGCGCTCGCGGAACGCCAGGCGAGTGTCTTACCACTACACCACGGAGACTGTTAAGACTGTTGACTGTTATTTCCATTGCACATATTATTTAATTTATTTAATGATTTATTTGTTTATAATGAATTAGTGTCAATTAACTAGAGAACAGCTTAGTTGCATTGTGGAATGGTGCCCGGTTAGTAAACAATAGATACGTCTACGTCGTATAAGTTGAATCTCTCGTGGACCAGTCTATAATGTGGTCGTAGCATGCTTCTCGTTGCACCAGGTAAATTGTTGTAACTTCTTCTCCTCCTTCAATTTCACCTGTCAAACATAAGCAATATATGATGGCTATGTCAGGAAAAATAATTATTCGTTTTAAATAATTTGGGCTTACTAGTTCCGGGTGGCTTGCCCAGCATCCTAACCACTTGTTATAACAAACAAATATGGCCATATAAGTACAATAATAACTGTCAAACTGTTATAGAACACTTCACTATTTGCTAGTGAAGGGGTCCTGATTATAGATGATTTGGCGTCCTACAACATTTAAACTAGAGGGATATGTTCCTGGAGCCTCGCGCGCGTGCTCACAGGCAAGACTTTGTTGTTGTTAATAATGGCGTCTCTCTTCCAGATCAAACGATGCGTCGAGAAATTGGTTCGGTTTTATTTCGGGAATATTTACGTTATATAATATATTTGGTTGTAAATTATTTTATTTATTATAGGAAAGTGTTTTTTGTCAATTTCATTCGTCAGACAGCAGGATTTAATATTATTTGATCTATATTATTTGTAGCAAACCGTAAACAACGCGCAAGTATATTCACATTTTCTAAAGAATGATGCTTTCTACTATATCTTAATAGGTAACTAAGGTAATATAATCTTAATTTGTGTTAATACAAATTCGGCAGCAATTTTATCAGTTTATTGAATTGGAAGTTAGTAAACGGTGTCAGTATTTCCAACATAATTACAGGGAAGAGAAATGAGGTTCGGAGTCCACTGTTTAGAACTGATGAACACTGATACTTCTCCTCAGAATTATTTGATTAATTTGATGTTACTAGTTAGTGGCACATTTGTGCATCAGTTTGTACAGGACGGATGTTCCATACTAGAGTTGCAGGTGTTGTAAGTCTTTAGGCGATTTCATTTTCCTGCTAACTCTTGTGATGCTAAGTTTCTAGCCTAATTAAATTTTATTTAACCCAGAGGACTGAATGTGATCATTTACTACAGTCAAGTATGATTCTGAGACTGCAGTGGGGTCATTGACACTGGGCACAATGACATTTAGAGGATTGAATGTACCCAATCATTATAGTCAAGTATGGCACTAAGACTGCAGTGGGATCAGTGACATTGGTCGCAGTGAATTGTAGCTGATTAAGATACTGATTTGATCACTGATTTTCCACTGAGGCCTCATGAGCTTATGTTCAGCTTTAAACGATGATATCAAGATCAATTTTTGTTGATATAGCCAGCTGTATTCTCGTTAGCATATTTTACTGGAGTTTTATATTCAGATAAGAAATTTCTATTTGAAAGATTTGTCTGCAGGCATAGGCTTCCTTAGGCTTAATACTGGGCCTGTGAGTAACTTGCCTCCTGTAGAATTTAAGAGGAATTTGGTAGTGGCTCCTTGACCTTCTACACGTCGGTCCGTTGGAATTGTATCCACCACGATGGCCTGCACTTGACGGACGTAGCCGCCTAAACGTACTGGTGGTTACACCACCTGGTAGACTTTAGGTCCTGTATCAGCCAGGAAATCCAATATATATAATTTCAATTGAGTTACAGGTTTTAATTGTAGACCATCTGCCACCATGTTTTGTGATATGAACTCTGGGACACCTGTTCAAACAACGCACGGGTATGGACCCTGGCTCTCTTAGTTTTGATGGTAAGTTGGGCAGTAGACAAAGTTGCATTTTTCTGGACTTTGTCGATAAGACACTGATTTTCTGCCACACCTTGCAGTACTATACAAAGGTAGGAATGTTTTTTCCGTCTTGGTGGTTAGGGGATTAGGGGTGTCTCCGCACAATGCTGCATGGTGTCTGACCCTTGTTACACCTATTACAGATGTTTAATTGTGTCTCACAGGTGTTGGTGTTGTGTTTTCAGAGGCACCTCTTGCAATTTCGCAAATCTTTGAGTCGCTGACACGCGCGTCACGATCAGGAGAATTAGTACAGTGGTGTATTGAATGTTTCTTTTGGCAGAACAAACATGTCCCAAAGCTTACAGCACCTTTTGGAGTCGACGCCTTGGGTGGCGTTGTCCCTGGACCACCATGCCTCGTGGACCACCATGCCCAGTGGACCACCAGGCCCATTGGACCACCATGCCCAGTGGACCACCATGCCTCGTGGACCACTATGACCCGTGGACCACCATGCCTCGTGGACCACCATGCCCATTGGACCACCATGACCCGTGGATCACCATGCCTCGTGGACCACTATGACCCGTGGACCACCATGCCTCGTGGACCACCATGCCCAGTGGACCACCAGGCCCATTGGACCACCATGCCCAGTGGACCACCATGCCTCGTGGACCACTATGACCCGTGGACCACCATGCCTCGTGGACCACCATGCCCATTGGACCACCATGCCCAGTGGACCACCATGCCTCCTGGACCACCATGCCTCCTGGACCACCATGCCTCGTGGACCACCATGACCCGTGGACCACCATGCCCAGTGGACCACCATGCCCATTGGACCACCATGCCCAGTGGACCACCATGCCTCGTGGACCACTATGAC